AGTTAGGCAAGCGCCTCGTCGCCTCGTCTTAAGGCGTCCGGACAAGCCTTTCCGCGTTCCCGTGCGTGTGCCAACCAGTCGGACTGCCCAGGAGTTCACCGAGAAACGGGATTTGAGCCACAAAAATCCATGGGCTGCTAGTAATTGCAGGCAGGTGGATGGCTTGATATGGGTTTAAACCATCATAAAAGGCACGATCAACAGCAAAACACTGGCAGGAACTTTTGCCCGTGTGTTTATTTGTTGTTCTACCTTATTCTACCCTGAATGTTGATCCCAAAATTGCAAAATTCCTGCAAGGTAAGTGTTCAACCATCAACGAGCAGGTTTAAGCAGTATTTCTTGGTTCTTCCCCTGCAGCTCAAGTGGAGCCACCATAAACAAGCATAGCCGGCATAGCCCATTTCAATGCTCATCACCAGATGCAATAACATAAACCTGGTTTAGCTTCTAACTTAAAATCAAAATATGAATTACACTCACCAATAACGATACGTGGTCCATAAGCTCATAACCACTGGGCCTTGATGACAACATGCCGGGATCAGGATTTCCTGGAAGGAGCTGATGAAGGTACCTCAAAATCGTTAGAACCCCAAAAGACACAGGAAAATAATGGAAAATCACAACAATTGTTGGTGGAGATGTATTTCCACACGGGGAAAACATGGTACTTGACGTTTTATATGTGTTTCATATGTCTTTAGCATTATGTATCCATCGATTTTCTCACCCTTGTAGCTGGAATTCTGCATTAACCCTGAGGAATGAGGTAACAATTTCCAATGATCTTCCGATCCTCAGTGGAATGAAACTATAAGCTACATCATAAACGCTCTTTGCATGGTATATTCATCGGAATGTACCAAAAATGATCCAAATAACCCAATGAAGTGAGGGTAAATTATACTGAACATGGAGAATACACATGATATATATTGGGTATCTTTTTCCCAGTGAAAACTATTTGGTATGCCCTCCCGCCATGGACAGCTCGCAGAGTGTTAGGCTCTACTTGCCGCCGTACACCTCCAAAGAGGAACTGCAGGCGGGCGCGATTACGGGTTGACAAACGTTACGGGGGGGTGCCCTTTGTGCAGGGGTTGGGGGAAGAGATAGCATAGGATCTTAGTATTAACCAAGGAACATCGATGGGGGCGGTTGGGTCAGTTGGTTTTGTCAATTTTTCCAGAAAGAAAAAATGCTACATTGGAGCAGGCGGGTTTGTACAAGCTGTGATCGGTTGATAGTTGATACAACAAGATTTTTCGATCCAGGTTTATATTCTTCGAAATCCAACTGTAAACTGGTTCAATCCAGGTTGTTGTTGCTTCATATCCCACCTTGGGTGAGAATGGTTTTGGAAAAAATCCAAGTCGCGATTGCTGGAAATTCCTTGAAATCTTGATTTTACTCGATCCGACCTACCACAAAATCCAGGATCTTGAAAGAATCCCATCCCCCTAATATGAGATATCGTCATGGCTACCCAAAAGAAAATGTCGTGCCAGTACTAAACTATCATTGAAACTATGGTCTCTAGGGGGGTAAAGTAATACCGGTTACAAGACACATGTCGATTCCACTGTTTGATGCTTACATCCCCCAGGATTTCCAGAGGTTCAATCAGTTCAATCCCCCATTTTTGATGAATAAATCAAGACGAAATCACCCATTCTGTGGACGGTTAAATCATGTTAGTTCCCTGTGTTTGATGGTTAAAATCACCATTTTGGATGATTTGGATGGTTAAATCATGTTAGATCATCTTAGATCCCTATGTTTGATGGTTAAAATCACCATTTTGGATGATTTGGATGGTTAAATCATGTTAGATCATGTTGGATCCCTATGTTTGATGGTTAAAAATCACCATTTTGGATGATTTAGATGGTTAAATCATGCTAGATCATCTTAGATCCCTTTGTTTGATAGTTAAAATCACCATTGTGGATGATTTGGATGGTTAAATCATGTTAGATCATGTTGGATCCCTATGTTTGATGGTTAAAATCACCATTTTGGATGATTTGGATGGTTAAATCATGTTAGATCATCTTAGATCCCTATGTTTGATGGTTAAAATCACCGTTTTGGATGATTTGGATGGTTAAATCATGTTAGATTATGTTGGATCCCTATGTTTGATGGTTAAAGTCACCATTTTGGATGATTTGGATGGTTAAATCATGTTAGATCATGTCAGATCCCTATGTTTGATGGTTAAAATCACCATTTGGATGATGTTGATGGTTCAATCATGTTAGATCATCTTAGGTCCCTTTGTTTGATGGTTAAAATCACCATTTTTCACTCCCATGATTTTCATTGGCAAAATTGGAGGAATCCTGCTACGCTTCGCTATCGTAGGCGAAGTTGGTTGAGGCCATGCACAGCTCCGTTCGGGGGCCATGGATTTCTGGGATTTTCGCCGTGCTTTTTCTTGTGATGATGGTGAAAATATTATTCATGAAGATGGATGATCATGGTTATGGTGATCAATGGTCGATATTGGTGATTCATGGTGATTTTTCCCCACCTGCCAGGTGAGGGTTGTTAGATTTTATGTCAGTTGCCTGCTCCTCTCCTCCTCTCCTCTCCTCCTCCTCCTGCTCAACCGCGACCCTCGACGCTCAGTGTTCTCTGTCGGACCTCAACCACGACCATCCACGCCCAGTGTTCCCTGCCGGACCTCAACCACGACCATCCCCGCCCAGTGTTCCCTGCCGGACCTCAACCACGACCATCCACGCCCAGTGTTCCCTGCCGGACCTCAACCACGAGTATGCCCGCCAAGTGTTCCCTGCCGGACCTCATGTAGGAAGATATGGGACAAAGAATGTGCAGAAGAAATGTCAGATAGAATGCCAGAAGATATGCCAGATAGAATGCCAGAAGATTGCCAGATAGAATGCCAGAAGATTTGCCAGATAGAATGCCAGAAGATTTGCCAGATAGAATGCCAGAACATATGCCAGAAGATATGCCAAATAGAATGCCAGAGGATATGTCAGATAGAATGCCAGAAGATTTGCGAGTAACAAAATGTGTAAATGTCATGGTGGGGATCACACGAAGTAAAGTATTTTTTTTATTTAATGGTGATTCATGGGGAATATTTCTCAGGGATTTCACCATGAATATTCAATAAATATGGTTTACCCTTTGGTTATGACTAACATAGCCATGGAACATACATAGATGGTCCATAGAAATAGATTTACCGTTCTTAAAACTGGTGGTGATCTTTCCATGGCGAACTGGCAATGTCATAACCAGATGGTAGTAATTTATAGCAATTGATTGAATGAATGGTTGATATCCCATTTATAATCAATGACCATGAAATATCAATCATTCACCATATCAAGATGATAAAATAATGAATGATTGATATCCCATTGATTCAATGGCTTGGTTTTTCAGGGAACATCCACAGGAAACCGAAAAAACCCTCAAACCAACCCATTGAATGGTGAATAGTGGTGATTTATGGCTAATTGGTTGTCAATAATGATTTTGTGTTACCGAAATGTTACGAAAGAGTGGATTTAACTATTGATTTCTTAAATTTTGTGAGCAAAAACCGGTGATTCAGAAATATTTTTAGAACAAGAAAACACGTGGAATTCGCTTGTTTCTTAACAGCAAGAATGGTGGGGATGATGTTTTTGGCCATGTGAAAATGAGGGGTATTGGATGGTTTGACCAGCAAAAATGGTGGATCGTATAGACTTTATAAGGATGTGAGGTTGAAATCGGGTACCCCAAGTTATCATCCAGTTTCCTATAAGTTTTGTGATAGGAAACCAATGAGATCTCCGAGTGATGACTCATTAACGATGCTGCAGACGACAAGTGTATACTCCCTTATAGTGAACTCTCCCCGCCCGATTCAAAATCTTGCGTTTATGGGGGGGACTTCCCGGGAAAGTCGCCCCAACATGCGTTTAGTTGCTGTGGAGCAGTTGCGTAATAGAAAACGATGCTTTAGAAGTAAATATTGTGTCCTTTAGCTTGTGTTTACACCGAGAGCTTGTTTTTTGTCATGCCTGGCTCATTCATGTGACCTTCGAGCAAATCCAGTCACGTGTTTACATGTCGCCCTGCCGGGGGAGTGCCTTTCTAGAGTAGTTGCATCGATTCATCTAATTACAGTAGATGCTGGCCTGCAGCTAGGCTGTTGTCGGGCTGATGCTGGGTAGCTAAATGGTTGCGGGATATCACCACGGGCAGCGTGCAAACTGAGCTGCTGCCAGACTGCTTCTAGACTCCTTCTAAGACTTGCTGCCGGGCTGGTGGTAAATTGTTGCTACAGCTGAGAGGTTTCCAAAGCTATTTTCTGGCCTCGCTCGGGCCTCGTTCGGGCCTTGTTCGGGCCTCGTTTTTGGCCTCGTTTTTGGCCTCGTTCGGAACCCGTTGCAGAAAAAATATTGAGTTGAGATGTAAATCAGAACCCCATAGATTTGTTACCAAAATTTATCAAAACATACATAAATCATGCGTTCACATTGTGTTTTGAACCAAAATATGACATTTCTTAGACGTATTTGTTATATCTTGTTGTACTTGAACATTAGAATTAGATGGGTTTTGCAACCAAAGAAATATTTTACCCAACATACATGAATCATGCGTTTACATGGTGTTTTGATATTGAAATATATTATTTTGATTTATTTTGTTGATAATTTTGCATAGTTTGAAACCATTGGGGTGGCTTGCGATCTCATGGTTTTTTTGCACATTTGGGAAGACATGTTTTGTATATTTTTCTTTTCGTGATGCGTTTACAATGGGCGAAAAAGTTGGGGTGACTTTTCCTAGCATTTGGAGGGCGTAGGTCCATACGGGAATGATAGTTGACTGCAACGTTGGGGGGCCTTCGCCCGCATAATAAAGCTCGCTGTATGACCGCCTTGAGTGGCCACTGTTTCCACGGCCCATTGAACACTGGCGCGGTGTCAGTGCAAGATATGCAAGATGCTTGCAAATGTCCTATGCGTGGGTGCCGTGCTCCAGAGTGCACAGCTGGTGACCCTTTGAAAAAGTTGAAACTTCGGGTGCACCGTTCTCAACAAGCATTTCTCGAATTCAGCGTTGAGCTCTGGACTTCTCCTCTGGCCAAGGACAGACAGGCAGCTCAGAAGTTGTTTTCTGACTGGCAGACTGCGCGGTCACGGATCCTTGTGGAGGTGATCTCCAAGATGGCGTTTTGGCAGCAGTTTCCATGGAAACCATGACAAAGTGGAGGCGGCTGTGGGAGCAAAAGCCTGCCTTGAACTTTGGAAGCTTCAGGGCGATGAATGCAAGCACCGTCGGAGCTGCCGATTTCTGGACCCTCAATATGAACCAGACAACCCCGATGATCCCCCATTGCGGGGCATTGCCGAGCGCATGGCAAGAGGTGAGGATATTTCACACCCAGACTTCAGTCCCTTGAAACTCGGGGCAGCCCAGTTTTGAGAAACACACGAATCTTTGTCACCAGCAAAACTTTGTTTTTTTTCTAAGGTACGGATCTTTTACCATGGAGGGTTCACCATGTTTCACATGCAAAACTATCGTGGTGTTTTCGGAGAGGGGCTCAGCCGCCAACTTGGGACCAGGTCACCAAAGTGATACCCTGAACGGAACAGTTTGCTATGGAAAATTCAGGAAAATTGTCATGTTTTTAGTTTGGAAACACATCGAACTATATGATCTATATGGGCCATGGCTTCCATATCGATGATTACCAGGGTGTGACGTTTGCAAGCAAAAGCGTAGGTATTTCAACATGGGGATCCAACAGTAGTCCCCACCAAGAGATGTTTGCCGTCACGAATCAGGATCTAACCAGCAAGAATGAAGATTTCAACCGTGATGGATCTGTTCACCAACAAATGCAGGTATTTTCGCCCACAGTCCTGGAGATCTCTGAGGTATTGAAAAAAGATGTTACAAAACATGTATAAAATATGAGTAAAAAGTCTACACTGCCCAATCTGCAAGAAAAATGTGTGAGACATTCCTTTCTCGATTAGAAATGGGCCACGGGATGAAATCATGACTCCTGCCACAGTAAGTGCCTTTCCAAGACAGCAAAGAATGGACAACCTCTCCCACCCTGGTACCCGAGCCAAGGCGGGTCACCACGAGCAGAGAGTGCGGGACCAATGAGATGTCACAGAGGCAAGAAAAAAACATTGTTTCCACGGCGGTGTGATCTGCTCGGGTTTCAAAATTGTTTTTTCATCCCGAAGATTCTGGATTCAGAAACTGTTGCCACCTCGACTCACGCCTAATCCCAAAAAAAGGAAGATTTTTTTCCCAAATGGATGTGCATATTTTGCACGTTCCAGTTTGTGCTTTGAATAATGAATAATCAATTTATGTATACTGTATGTTTTATCATATATATATAATAATATATTGCATTCATTTTCTCAACTGTTGGACATGTGTATATTATATATACTATATCTATAATTGCGTGTGTGTGTGTGTGTTTGCGTGTGTTTGTATGTGCATATGTTTATATATACATACTAGGAAGTTGGGTAGGTAGGTAGGTGTATGGATAATATGTTGTATGTATTTACACTCATATATTTGTACACATATATATATATATACATATTGTATGTAAATATGATTTACATATATATATATATATGTGTGTGTGTATATGTATATATATATATATATACACCATTTACATAGATACTTATATCTCTATATCATGACCATGACTGACAGCACGAATCAGAAGGCATTCTGAAAAGTGTTTTCACGCCGAGCAGATACACTCCCCGCCGGAAACGGTTTCATGTGACGCACCTCCCAGGTTTTTTTTATGTGAATAGAAGCTCTGCGTGTTTGAAAATGCGGAATTGACCCCCAGTTTATGACCATGGGAAAACGTTAGGGGTGTACTTAAACAGCCATCAGATTTAGAGGTGCCCTATCTTCAGAAACAAAATGGGATGGAGAGACTAAACTGTCAGCTAGAGAGAGATAATATGTGTAAATTTACATATATATATATATATATGCGTACATGCATGCATACATACACATGTCCAGGCATGCATCCATACAATGGACAAATAGATGCAATGCAAATTGCATAGACATATACACATATACTGTATGTATATATATATACGTAAACATGGAGTGCAAATAGACTGCAATGCAATGCAACGCAATGCAATGCAAATACTTTGCAAAATAACGTATGTCGTTTTTGCCTGCAATGGTACCTACAAAAATACATACATATGTACATACAGACCTACACTGCAAACTACGCTTGCACGAGATCTAAAGTCATTAAGACATTGTGCTACATTCAAAATAATGTTAATCGCTCGTGATCGCACTAAGAACGGTTTGGTGTCTGTGCAACCGTTTGTGGACGCACTTTAGCCCCAGATGCCTTGTGTTTTGCAGGGAGGGGGTTCGGCACAGATGACGATCCGAAATCAGTTGAACACTCCCTGAGAACTGCAAAGCCTGAGCATTTTTTGGTGGGTTGGGTTAGCTCTTTCACAACCCCCAGATGCCCCAAGTGAAAACTATTGAAAACTGTCTTCCGTATGGTGATTCTGACCAGCATCCCCGAAAATCCAAAGTTTCAGATGAGTGGATCGCTGCATCCTTGCCAACCCCTAAAGAGATGGGGAGGCTGCAGTCTGGCGGGGCTGCGGACTGGTCATGGCTGGAGAGAGATTTCAGGAGTTTTCCCCATCACAAAAAAAAATCAACCAAACAAAAGTCTATAGCAACCCCTCAAGAGAAAAGTTGGAAACTTGACAATTTATGCGGAAACATGATTGACAACATCATGATCGCACTGTCTTTTCGGGAGTTTTACCTGGGATGAGTTAACTCATGCGCGCTTGTTTGTGAATAAGGTGCTTCAAAGTCTTATGATTGGAAATCATCATTATATAAACCCTTAATCTCCTCGTAATGTGCCAACTTTGCATTAATCCAAAATCGTAATCTCATATGTTTCCCTGCGTTTTCTCCAGATTCGTTTTAATCTTTGAAGCAAAACTCCTCCGGCCGAAAACGGCTGTGTTGCCGCGTGCCCCTGCCACACGACTCGCGCCACGCTACTCGCGTCACGCTACTCGCGTCTACTCTTCGCCCAGCCCGCCTGCTGAGCGGTGCAGGGCAAGAAGGAGGCAACAGAGTCTCAACTTGGGGAATCGGAATGGGTTGAAATTTGGTTAAGGAATTGCTTGATGAATGGTGAATCATAGTGACCATGAATCTGAGTTAGTGGTTGGGGATTATGACTGGCCATCAATGATTGGGTTACTAGTTGGTGAAAAGCTTTTGGCTATTCGTGATTGACGATGGGTGAATAGATGTTCAGACTGGCTTAGTGGTTGGGGAGCTGATTAAAGCAAGTGGTGATTGAAGGATTGGTTCAAATTGGTTCAGAATGGCTTAATTTGGTTGGTGCCCGGTACATCTGACCTGCGACTGGCAATTGGTCCCACGGTCAAAAGATGCCAGTGTCCTGGGACCCTGGGAGGGTGCTGGTGAAAGGCGGGGCCCCTTAGTTACGTTAGTTTGCTTTATAAGTAACTGGTGTAATTTATTGTGTTATTAATTCCATCCCCCTAATATTAAACACCCCCTACATGGTCCCAAGTAAGTCGAAAATCCCTACTAAACCATGGTTTCTAATGTCTAAGGGGTGTTTAATATTAGGGGGACGGGATTATCACTGTTGTTAATGGATTTATAATCACCCAACTGGTAAACTGGCGATAAGGCGATAAGAATCTTTCCCACGCCAGAGATCTGAAGTCCCCCACCCATTGCCACCCGATTTTTCTTTAAACCAAAGCATGCCAAAAAAAAATGATTGTCAAACCTTGCGTTTTTGTTTGCATCTTTGTAGATTGTAGGTCCCAAAACCAAGGACAGCTGCATTGTTTCTTGTGAGCTGTGAACTCATTTGTCCCGGATTGCACAATGCACAAAGCTCTCTTGGGCCTTTAAGTCATAAATTGAAGAAATATGGTTCAAAACAATGCAGGGATTTGCTATGCCATATTATACCATGCTGGCATTGTCCCCCTAATGTATCCTAATGTACTATTAATTTGTCAGGGTTGCATGTCGAAAGCACATCATCGCAATTTTGCAGTGCTCCTCCACTTTATCCACTGGGGTTGGTTCATCCACACAGGTACAAGGTGGTGCCCGCCAATGATAACTTTCTTTAACAAGCCCATTAACCATAGAGTACTGTACATATAACATATATAAATATATATAATATTATATTGTATGCAGCATAAATCCTAGTTCACCTACTTGTAGAATCGTGTAAACCAACTTAGCTACAAGGCACCACCTTGTACAGCTTCAACATTGTTGAACCATCTCACCAGTGACCCATCTTCGATAACTCGACTGGCCGTTTTACGGTTTCAGCTTCCACAACTGGTTGGTTTTTTTTCACATTTCGTACGTCGATGATATGAGAGTTTAAACTACCAGATATCAAGGGCGGAGAAGAATGGCAATAGGAATTCTCCCATCTTGGGCTGAAACAAGTAGCTTTGTATAGCGACTGATAACCACTGAACCATACATGATGGTGAGATCATCCCAGAAATGGCTACCCCTTCCACTGATTTCTTATGTGTTCTAAGTTCAGAGATAGCATGGCTACCACAGCCATCGCCATGCTGCCACGAGCGCGGGGAGTGCTTCGAGAAGTGTCGTCAGCTGACCGCAGTTGGCAAATACTTCGGTGATTTCATCCTGTAGCAGATTTAAACCAAAAACTAAACATGCGGATTTGTTGGGCCATCCAAAAAAATGATTATAATCCAAAATTGGATATCATGGGGATTTGGCCATGGTATGATTGATCCATGTGATCGGTTCCATCATCATATGGCAATTCCCGGGGTGCTTGTCAAGCTGCCATGCTGCTTCCAAGCAATGTTCATCTAGCTGTGTGAAGATAATTATCCCATGATATATTCTGAATAAATCGTAGAATGCTGTCAAAATACAAATGAATAAAATGACAATTATACAAGATAAACGCTTATCCACTTCTGAAACCCCTTAGCCACCTCTGAAATCAAACAAAGAAAAAGTGTGGATCAAAAGTCTTGTTGCCACAACGGTTTCCATCAGCAACTGTACAATACTGGCTACGTCCATGTCCCCAAGCATGTGATTGTACATGGGCGGCCGGTTCTCCGAGGGCAACGTTTGTTTCAATCTTCCTCGTTTGGATGATTCAGGGTGTTTCATAGATCTTTCACTGATCTCGTTTTAGGGTCTAGATCCGTGGGGTTTACATCAGCCACCTTTTTCAGCCAAAGTAAGATGTCTCAAAGCAGCCTCAATTGAGACATTTTGAACACTGTCCAAGGTTGACAATGCCATATCGTGTTTCCAAAAAATGTTCAGAATTGCTCGACATGACCCAAACTTGCCCGACAAAAATGTTCAAAATTGCTCGAAATGACCCCAAGCTGAGCCAAAAAAATTGCTCAAATTGTTCAAAATGTTTCAAAATGACTCAGAATGTCTCAAAATGTCTCAAAACGTCTCAGTTGTCATTACTTGGCAGTGCTGTTGCCGGTGTCTATTATTGCATGGGCTTAAGGTCAATGTCAATTGCGCCGAGGTCATGCCTGCTGCTACGTTCAGACCCCTCAATCGTCAATTTCAACTCAGAGGGATCACTTGTCATTCGATTGGCTGCCATAGTTTCAATTAACGGCTTATCCGGCAAAATCATCATTGCTTTGATAGGAAAAAACCGTTTATGCCCGCAGTTTCTTTTGTTTCATTCCTGCCTCTTGGTGATACCACAATCAGACATGAACTTCTGGGATTTTTTGTGTTTTTTTTTGAGATTCGAAAGGTAACGAATCTAAACCTCACGAAGATTCTTCTTTTCCCACTTGCTGCTTGATTTTTGTTCGGGGAGTAACTCCCATTTATATATATATATAATCGAACAACAAGTACCGTATAACCGAATAATTTTTGATGATCAAATCATACACCAAACCAACCCTTGCACCGCCAAATTTGTGGGTTGGAAGCCTACATTCTTCCAAGAAGTAGTGGTTCTCAGGGTCTGTGTTAGTTAATGGGATCGTACATCCATGTATATCCCATATGTACACCCATTTCTTTTCCCAATATCTATCCGATATTTATTCAATATTCAGCCATCTAACCAACAAAAATCGAGATTTACTCATATATATATACATACATACATACATACAGAGTTACAGGGATACAGGGATACAGAGATACAGAGATACAGAGATACAGAGATACAGAGATACAGAGATAGATAGATAGATAGCTAGATAGATAGATAGATAGATACATTCATTCATTCATTCATTCATTCATTCATTCATTCATTATATATTTATATAGTCAGCAAACATGGGCATCTTTGATTCCCGGCCACCCTGTCGGGGCCCAAGTCCCCAAGGAGTCGCTTTCCACTGAAGCTCCGACTGTGGAGCTTCAGCGTGGCGGTGGCCATTGCAGTGTTGAGAGCTTTGTGGAGGAAAAAACTGAGAAGATACGTGATGCTTGGAATCATTCTGGTGGGACATGGTGACATGCCATCAAAAATGGTGGTTTAACGATATGCACCATCAGTGACAGAACTCAATACCCCCTACATGCCTAGATCTGCCATAGAACTACCCGTTGATAACTGGGAATATAATTGAATATAAGTGTTTCATAATGGGCAATAATCCAGTTGTAAACAGTTATATAATTAACTTCCAGACGCTTTGGGTCATTGCACGAAAGCGCACCCTAGATAGGAAAGTTGGCTTATAACTAGGCTAAGTAAGGTTTATGGTGTATCTCAAGAATAAGGATGCATGGGATGAACATATACAAGAGAAAACATTGACGTCCATCACGATTTGAATCATTGGGGGTGGCCATCAAATTATGGATTTTGACGATACAAAACGGGGCTTCAACATTTACCAATAAGAAAACGTGGAAATCCAACCAAATCATAAATGTTTACATGTTTGGAAATTTGGAGCCCCAAACAGCCAGAAATAAGTCGTAGCTTCACCAGTTCCAACCATTCGTGAAGGATTCTTCACCACCATTTCGGTTTCACAACCATGGCTAGTTCTGGTTCGGAATGGGGCGGTGGCTCTCAAAACAGGCCATGGATGTGCATGCAAGTAGTACCTTCGGAGAATCTCTACATGGAATACGAAGGGAGCCACACAATTGCCATTTGCCAACAGGCACATTGTCGTGCAAACCATTGCAAACCTATAGTTTTTGAATATCGATAGTTGTTTCTCTTGAAACAATAAATTGTTTGTAGGGTTTTTACCGTCGTTTCAGTCATTTAATATTTTGTCATTTAGTTCTAAAGGTTTCCATTTGCTCTTTGGCCTCTGCCGCTTGGGTCGTTTTTCTGGCCTGGAAAAGCCAACATCTTCGATCCATCCGAAGCTTTGAAGGTAACTGTTTCTTCTTTTGATACTTGATAGCCGCTGAGAGCCTGATCGAGCAGACGATTTGGGGAAAAAACGATTGGAAAAACAAAGAAGACTGGCAGGATGTGTAGCAGCTTAAAGATTTGGTTCTTCGGTGGGAAGTGAGGGCCTCACCTGGGAGCCACGCCGCTTCAGAGTCGTATGACCCATGTGCGATCTCCAGAAATTTAGCTTGGAATCAAACGATCCAATATGTTGCGTAAGGAAATTTATCATCCAAACATATCCAAACGTTTTTGGAGTTCCATTTCCTGGGGATGCCCTCTGCAATACCATTCCGGTGGTTGCTGGATTCGGCCAGTTGGGGGTCCCATTCTGTGGCATACCCTATGTTCAGACAAACCCAAATATCATATCAAATTGGTTAGTTATATTATACCATTTTACATCCCATATCACTTTCCCATTGAATATCCCACCAATATTCCCATCAAATATGTTGTCAAGGACTTCTATATAGTGCTTTCCCCAGTCATAAGTATTTTTAAGTTGGTTTGTAAACCCTAGATCCACCAAAGACCCCCAGTGAAATATCAGTATAAACATGGTTTCTGGGCTAAACCAATAGTTTTAATGTTTAATTGATAATTAAATGTCGGTGGGCAATTATCTGATGGTTGGATCTAATTTTGGGGATGATTAAGTCTCTATTTAGTGGCTAAATCCCATTCTTAGTAGTTCAACCACCATTAAACCACCATTTTTTTAGTAAGAACAACATCATTTTTAGTTGTTGAACCATCATGTTTCGCGGTTAGTTCTTCATTTTTTGGTGCTTCAACGACCCGGAGTTGCTCCGCCCAGGGCGTTCCTCCGCATCTCCAGCCCCCTACGCGGCGCGGACGTGAAGTACGCCCAGCTGCTGCCGCAACAGACGTGGTACAAGACGAGGAGTGGCAGATGGTGCCTTGGATGCCCAAGCTGCTGTTTGTTTCAACCTTCTTGATACTTTGGTAAACATACAAGAAACTATGGAAAATCACAATTTTCATGGGTAAATCAACTATAAATGGCCATTTTCAATAGCTATGTTACTTTACCAGAGCGTACCTCATTTCCATTACAGTAACATCCCTGACAAACTTGACAGCCCTTTCTCGAACGACATCCGTGCCACCCCTTTGTTTGGACGCCTCTTTCTCCTTGACCTCCCATTCTCTTGACATCCTTTTCTGATGTTTGCACTTTCTCTTGATCCGGTTTGCCCTTGACATCTCTTGCTCTTGGCAGCCCTTCCAGCCATTCCTCTTGGCCGCTCTGAAACTAGAGACCTGGCACACTTTTCGATCCTGACAACATTTTTCTGATGTCACCTCTGTTGACATTTCATTGTCTTCCGATTCCCTTACCCGCCAAAAGAAAGAAAAGGCTAGCTGGGTTTAAGGTATGTCACATCAACCCAGTAATTCTGCTGGTTTTCCCTCAAGACAATCCATGCTGTTCATACTTGTTGGTTGTTATAACATGTTATAACCCCATTCACTAGTTTGATAGCTCTACCATCACCCCTTTGGTGAAGTATGTGTTCATTTAGAAAGCTGAGACTCTACAATTTAAAACGTGTCTATACATATTCAAATAATTTCATATATATATATATATATATGTAATATGTACATCTCCCAAGTGTATGCCATTGTTACTTATCAAATCCAAATGCTCATTACTATTGTTTAAAAAGCAAACCCAAAAAGATGGCCAGAAGATAGCTCTCACTATCTATGTGAAAAATAAGCTATATACCTATCCAACCTCTATTTGTTCACTTAAATTATATACCTATGGTATCCTATGCACCCTGTCCTAGGTACCGTTGGCCCAGCCTTTTGCAAAGTCTCAGCTGCTCTTGGAATGCCGCCTGTCCCTGCTGCAAGCGCCCATTACGTCTGGAACTCTCGGAGAAAGTGCCGCCGAAGGCCACGGTCGCACCGGAGGCCAAAGGAAAATATGTGCCTCGCTGACCATCCCCGTTGTGTGCTGGCTCAGGGGGAGAGAAACACCATCAAAAAATTATATAATGTTTTTCACGTTGGCAAGTCAGCTATGCCATGGAATTGGTGGTTGAATGGATTTTGAATGGGAGGTTAATCGGAAGAGTCCTCGCTTATCTGTCTCGTTGCTGCCTGCGCAGCCTGTTCTTTCAGTTGGCAAGTGCCGAAGTACCAGAATCATGTCAAGCTTGCCTCACTAGCAGACAAATAGAGCACATCTAAGATGTAAACCAACAAACTTCACTGGGGGTCACCGCAACTGTGACCTGTTGCTGTTTTTTTTGTAATGGGTAGAGGTCTTGTGGGATGATGGCGGCAGCGGGATGGAATCGAGCTTAATCAAAAATACTTAGATTTTTTTGGATAATTATAACTCAATATGATCACAAGGTGTTGCCACATTGTGTCAGCTAAGGTGGTGAAGTTCATTGATGTTTCTCTAGTTAATGACCTGCAGAGGTTTAAGAACAGGTGGCGAACAGCAATACCTTCATAAGGGGTTTTGCTCATCCTTATGCAAAATCGTTCCTCTAAATCGGTGGCAGCTTGGAAATCTGGTCAAGATTTCCCAGAAGCCTGGTATTTTAAGCATTTTTAAGCCATTGATCTGTAAAAAAATGGGGGCATGTCGACTCTAAATTTCAATGACTCACCGCAGCATCATCCCACCTGTACACTTTTTTAACGGGTTCATGTTAAAACCCTTCAATGAAACCACAGCCCTTCCATGGAACCAATGAACGGGTGATTTCCTGGCCTTCACACTTGTCCAGAGGTTTAGACACAAGGCCACTTAACCAGTTGGCTATTTGCATGTGTCACGTGCTGTCCCAACGATATGTCCTCCACTGGCAAGTTTGAGCCATCATCCCTTGAGAGCGAGGCGGCGCTTTTTTTACTGCCCCATGCAACAAACACATAGCTTGGCCCAAAAAACATCCCGGAAAACTACCAGCAACTAGGGGTTTCCATATGTTTCCATATAAAAATGGAGCTATCCCCAAGCTCGCGGTAACTGGTTGATTTCATGGGAAAATCCCAAAGAAACCATGAATAACTGGAGGTACCCCCATCAGGAAACCTCCAACAACGCCAAGAACTGGGGCAGGATCCAAGGAATCCAACAACTGCTGCCCACCACTGAAAAGAGCTGGTTTGTAAACCCCACCAACTACAAATATATATGTACAGTAATATATAAATCTATATGTATGTATATCTATATGGTCTATATGTATGCATATATATATATGTATATGTACATCTATACGCAGATCTCTATAAATAAATATATATACATATAAGTGTGTGTGTGTGTCCATAAGCCCTAATTAGTTATATCAAGCACACGCCACTTAGTAAGTAGTTTGTCTAACCATGGATCCTCGTAGCACCGTGGTAACCAAGGCCTACTTGATTTGCCTTTGGGGCAGCTCCATGGAGTACATCCTGGGTGCTATGGTGCTGGGCGCGTCCATTCGGAAGACCGGATCCAAACACGACAGGCTCTGCCTCTTTACGGAAGATGTGCCCAGAGAAGCTTGGAGAAACAGCATCTCAATACATATCAATAGCATATCAATAGCATATAAATAGCATAAGAATGTTGGGTTTAGAAGTTTACTTGCACAATGTTGGGATTTTGGATGCCTTGTCGGCCTTGTCGTTTCGTTTCGTTTCGGGTTCTTATAGCTGCCAGTTTTCGGGGCCCGGATGGGGATCCAGCCAGCATCAATCCAGCATCCATCGACATGTTTCCAAACTTGGTTTCCCCTAGAGACATCCATTTCTTCCAAATGAAACAGCAATAGCTGGTTGGTGGTTTCAAACATTTTTTATTTTCCATCATATATGTCCGTAGCCATTTTGGCTCAAGCTCCAGGGTCAATATCGCCGCAGTTGTCAGCCTTCGCACGCTTCGGAAATTGTCGCCTCTTCGCCATGGACCGTACGACTCCCAAGTCTCACATGCAGGAGCACCTGCGGGGTGAAGAGGACAGCGAAGGACGAGCGCTCGATCCCTTGTCATCTCAGGTTGCCTTCCTGCCGCTCGACCTGATTCCAAAAGGGGAGAAAACGAGCTGGGCGACGAGATCTCAGGACTCAAGATCTATGAGGTCCAAAGCGGCCCATCACGAGCAGACACAAAGATCGCAGTCACGCTTCGAAATTTTTCTTCGAGCTACAACGTTGGTGACAAGGTCAAAGGAACAGTTGGTTCCATGCACCTGCGCGCTGTCCACTTCGACATCGGAATGATCAGGAGTGCGACCGCCACGCGCTCCACATTGTCGAAGGATTACGTGAAAGATGAGGAGGTGGAGCTGCGAATCACAGAGATCAACGGTGACGAGGTGACGGTGACGGACGATCTTCACCAACTAGCGGCTGGCCAGAGAGTCACAGGCACGGTGACAGCTGTGACCGAAGGGTACGGCGTCTCATTCAACATTGGGGGGCACGAGGCCTTTTGTCCACCTAATCAGCTGGGGAAGCCGCTGCACCTGTACCAGGAAGGAGAAACTGTTGAGGGTTTGCGCATTCGCGATATTTACCTCGATCATATAGAGGTCACGATGCGACCTTTGACGTCTGACGCCAAGGTGGGCCAAAAGGTCAAAGGATTTGTGACTACGCGGCACACGGGTAACGTATGCTTCGATGCCGGCTTTAGCGTCGATGTCATGGCCCCTCGCGATTCGCTTCGCAAACCAATTGAAGAATACCAAGAACAAGACGTCTACGAACTTGTGGTGACAGATGTTCGAGGACACTATGTGCTGGTTTCCGACAAGCCGCCGCAGGAAATTGCCATGTCTGTGCGTGGCAACTCCCTGAAAGGGAAGGCGAAGGTTGTGAAAGTGGCAGCCAGTGGCCTTTTTCTGAGCATCGTTTCCTGCAAAGGATTGGGTACTCTTGGAACGAGCATCATGAAGGAGCACCAGCCGGGTGAAGAGGTGAGTCGCAAAATGGGTGCATGTTCCAAGGGCGTTGGCTCAAAGAGCGAGCCATTTTGGCTCAAGCTGAGCCGCATTGCTCAAAATCAGGGTTCGTCCCAGCTAGGTCGGTGGGATACAACCAAAGGCCCTGTGTTCCTCCTTTGGCACTTGTCCTTTCCCCCATGGAAGCTTTGGGTGGTGAGCGACTGGTGTTGTCCGTGGAAACCAAGCATGACATGATCGACTCAGCTTGGCATTGTGTGATTCAGTCAGGGCACTGTGCTGTTCTTCATGTCCCCGAGATTTGGAACTGTCACATTGCTAGAGCATCTTCAGTTACAGTGAAAGACTTCACTGTCTCATGGAGAGATGAAGTGATTCAGATTGAAGTGGACCCCAAAGGTGGAGCTTTATTGATTCACCCCAGCGTTTCCAAGGGTCCCCTTAGGTGTGCCGAGTTTTTTGCTGGTATCACAGGTTGGTCACAGGCTCTCGAAGCTTTTGGTGTTGAGCCTTTGGTGCTGGTTGAGCGAGACACATGCGTTGCCAATTAATGCATGTGCCCAGCGATGAAATGTGATGTCATCACTCCGGAAGTTTTCCTTGATCAGGAGTGCGACCGCCACGCGCTCCACATTGTCGAAGGATTACGTGAAAGATGTGGAGGTGGAGCTGCGAATCACAGAGATCAACGGTGACGAGGTGACGGTGACGGACGATCTTCACCAACTAGCGGCTGGCCAGAGAGTCACAGGCACGGTGACAGCTGTGACCGAAGGGTACGGCGTCTCATTCAACATTGGGGGGCACGAGGCCTTTTGTCCACCTAATCAGCTGGGGAAGCCGCTGCACCTGTACCAGGAAGGAGAAACTGTTGAGGGTTTGCGCATTCGCGATATTTACCTCGATCATATAGAGGTCACGATGCGACCTTTGACGTCTGACGCCAAGGTGGGCCAAAAGGTCAAAGGATTTGTGACTACTACGCGGCACACGGGTAACGTATGCTTCGATGCCGGCTTCAGCGTCGATGTCATGGCCCCTCGCGATTCGCTTCGCAAACCAATTGAAGAATACCAAGAACAAGACGTCTACGAACTTGTGGTGACAGATGTTCGAGGACACTATGTGCTGGTTTCCGACAAGCCGCCGCAGGAAATTGCCATGTCTGTGCGTGGCAACTCCCTGAAAGGGAAGGCGAAGGTTGTGAAAGTGGCAGCCAGTGGCCTTTTTCTGAGCATCGCTTCCTGCAAAGGATTGGGTACTCTTGGAACGAGCGTCGCAAAATGGGTGCATGTTCCAAGGGCGTTGGCTCAAAGAGCGAGCCATTTTGGCTCAAGCTGAGCCGCATTGCTCAAAATCAGGGTTCGTCCCAGCTAGGTCGGTGGGATACAACCAAAGGCCCTGTGTTCCTCCTTTGGCACTTGTCCTTTCCCCCATGGAAGCTTTGGGCGGTGAGCGACTGGTGTTGTCCGTGGAAACCAAGCATGACATGATCGACTCAGCTTGGCATTGTGTGATTCAGTCAGGGCACTGTGCTGTTCTTCATGTCCCCGAGATTTGGAACTGTCACATTGCTAGAGCATCTTCAGTTACAGTGAAAGACTTTACTGTCTCATGGAGAGATGAAGTGATTCAGATTGAAGTGGACCCCAAAGGTGGAGCTTTATTGATTCACCCCAGCGTTTCCAAGGGTCCCCTTAGGTGTGCCGAGTTTTTTGCTGGTATCACAGGTTGGTCACAGGCTCTCGAAGCTTTTGGTGTTGAGCCTGTGGTGCTGGTTGAGCAAGACACATGCGTTGCCAATGCATGTGCCCAGCGATGAAATGTGATGTCATCACTCCGGAAGTTTTCCTTGACAGGTCTCTCAAGAACGAAGTTTCTGGTCCAGTCATTGTGAATGGCTGTGTGCGTGACCCGAAGATTTGGATGGGAATGGAAATTCTCAATGTGGCTCATGGTTTTGCATCACCTCCATGCCAACCCTGGAGTGGTGCAGGTAGTGAGTTAGGATTGTCTTCAGAAGATGGCAAAGTTTTTCAGACTTGTTGCGCCTTGCTGGAGATTTTCACATGATTTCCTTGATTGTGGAGAATGTTCCAGGTATTTCCAAGAGCGCCGATTATCAAAAGTTGTTGACCACTGCAGCACTGGATGGAATGCGGTTTTTGTGTGCAGGTGTACATAGCTGTGCTCGTGTGCTTCCGTTGTACAGGGGCCGCTGGCTTGCATCCTTTTGCCATTCCTCCGTGTACATAGATTCCGATGACATGACATCTGCCGGCCTGATTTCTTTGTCTGCCGATGCCGTAGGTGCCGCTCTGCCTGGTCCATGTCTCAAAGCATCCGATGCCGTGCATCCGCCAAGTTCCAAGTTTGACCGGTCTGTCCTTGTCCCAGGTGATGAGGTCTTTGCCATGTTGAATAGGAGTGACTTGGATCCCAAATGGATGGCAAGTAAGATTAACTGGTCCATGCAGAATCCTGTCATCAATGCTCGGATCATCACTAGTGACATGAAGTTGGTTGGAGTCGTGGCTCAGTATGGATCGCAGCACCTCTTGCCGATTGACCACTTGAAGGCCAAAGGGCTTCAGACCATGTTGTACGAGGATGAAGGTTCATTGAGGTTTTTTGACCCATGGGAAATTCTTGCAGCCTTGGGATTTTCACCGAGCGTTGTCATCTCGGGGAATCTCAAAGAGGCATATCACCAGGTTGGAAACGCCATCAGTCCAGTTCATGCATGGATCCAGATCGCCAAGACACACACTCTGCTTGGAAAGATGACAATGCTGCCTGTTGCATGTGATGTTATCCAGACGCTTCAGAAAATTCTGGATAGAGCCATCAAGCTTTCGGCCTTCACTCCAGTCTTGCGGGGTGACTTTGCCATCTTGGTTACTTGGTTCCTGTGATTGATGAAAGTGACAACCCCCCTGATGCCAAACGAGCGAAGGTTGTGACATGTTGTGAGTGATCAGGTGGAAACGACATGTGTGGTTTCTCCGACTGTTTCCTTTGAGTCGGAAGTTGAGGGTGAGCCTTCCATATTGCCCTTCACCAATGAGCCTGTTTTTGTGATTGACAAACTGAACCAGTCGTCCCTTCAACCCTTTTGTCAGGGAGGTATCATGTTTTTCAAACATGCCATGAGAAATTGGATGATGATTGTGCATGGTGCCGTTGACGAGAAACTTGCAGTTTTGATCACCAGAGCCTTACCACATGCCAAAGAAACGCACTTCGAAACCCTCACATGGTTAGGCCATGTGCGTAAGTGGTGTGATACTGTCACATGTGCACCTCCTGCGACTGTGGTGTTTCAGCTTGCCTTTTTCCCATATTGTTGTGCCTTGGATGGTGGGGAAGTGATTAGGTTCACAGGTAACGTCACTTGGACAATGAGGACGCTTGCTGCTCTACTTGCGGCCAAACTCAAATGCAATGTCGATGTTTTGAGAATCATGTTCCAAGGGTTGCCCACCAAAAGCTTGGATTTTGTTGCTGAGTTTCAAGAAGCGGTCTTTGAGGTCAAGTTCCATGCATGCATGCATCCCAGGGTGTGTCTTTTGTGACGCTGTTGAAACACTTGAAGTACTTCACAAAGAGCGTGGTAAGAAGCCTGCACATGAGGGTTGTGTGAGATTCATTGCACGACACCCAGCAATGAAGGTTGCCCGTACGGCGGCAGTCCCCATGGCATCCACTGTTGCCGCTGTAGTGAGAATTCTTTTTCCTGACATCTGCAGTAGCGTGACATGGACAGTACACATGAATGGAGCCCCCATCTCCACTGAGACTCGAGTGACTGGGTGCTTCAGTTTTGTCATTGAGTGGGATTGCTTCAAGCCATTGGCAACTATAGATGTATGTTCTGCCCGTTTTGTGCTGCCAGTTGATACCGCTCAGACCCAGATGAAATTTCATGCCAGTCAGAACCGATGGATTCAATCGCCCTTCAAAGCCCAGCCACAGATCCTGAGGACTGACGAGAGTGCACAGTTAATGCAATTGGCTGCCTCTTTTGTGTCGCACTCACAGTTGGACGTGAATCTGACATGTCATGTTGGTGGATCACTTGTTGACCGGTCACTTACACTGTCCGATATTCCTGTATCAGAAGTTGTGTCCTTCAAGCTGGCACCTTTGTTGGGAGGCATGACTGATGGTTTGGATGGGAAAGAACAGTCCTCGTCTGGGTTTTCCTCAGTCGGCAGTCCTGATGTTGATGTTCCTGTGATGATGTGAGAGCAATGTCAGGTGCAGAAGAGGTTGTCAGGTATGTTGCATACCATCCGTTGATGAAAGTCGTTCGAACGGCCATTGTCTCAACCAAGTCCACCTTCGGAGATGTTGTTCGAACATTGTTCCCTGATGTGGCCAACATGATTGCTTGTGTAAGAGTTGACAATGTGGTGGTCTTGTGGGGTGATTGCATCGCCATCTGCAACTGCATGGAGATTGAATGGAATGATCACATGAGTAGCAAGCTGACCGAGGTACAGCTTCTGAACCTTGCCTTGCCTGGATGATCCCCAAAACCAAAGTGAATGTCGAGCTTTGACCAGATGGTGGTTTCGGTCTCCTTTCAAAACCAAGTCCCAAGACCTCAAAGCCTATGAGGATTTGACCCTAATGCAGTGTGCTGCATCCTTTGTAGCCCATACGAAATTGGACATCAATTTGACTTGCCATGTCAACGGAAAAGTTCTTGACCCTTCCACGGCCTTGGTTGATGTGTCCACCAGTGAAGTGATCTCCTTCAAGTTTGCCCCTTTGCAAGGTGGGGCCAAAAAGGGAGCGCATGATGTTGTGAAAACAAGGGTCGCCAAGATCTTAGAAACGCATGGTATACCAGGAGATGCGTGTAGTGAGCGTGCAGCTGCCTTTATGCAGAAAGCAGATGTTGAAACCATTGCAAAATGTGAAGCCAGTGATGATGATGCTTTTTGGAAAGCGGCGAAAGCTGAAGCCAACAGAGTACATTTCCGTTTGGTTTTCCGTGCTGAGATGCAAGCACTCAAAAGAGATGGACGCAAGAAGCCAGCCGACAAACCTTTCAAGAAACCTAGGTTGGAACATATGGCTGATTTTGTCACGTCAGCTGCCAGTGTTGTTGTTGACATGCGACATTTTTGGAATGGTGACGTGAATGTGGAAAAGATTGACAGCTCTCGTTTTGGTCCAGACCAGGCAGGTGTTGCGGTGATGAGTCTTGTTGAGGCTGAGAGACATTTGGCTGGCCAGTCGATTTCCATGGAAGGCCTTGCCATTTTAGTTGTTGATCGGAAGTTCTCAACCCATGATGCGCCATTTGCAATGCCAGCTCACACCGTGCAAGGAGAGCCAATCATCATCCAAGCTGCCTTACGGCAGTTTGGAGATCAGCCGGTTGTGTTTAAACCAGCAGTGCCTGACACACAGGTTGGTAGCTCAGCTTCAACGGTCGTTGAACTCCACATCGTTCGAACAGAAGTCAGTGCATGGAAGGACTGCAGTGTACCTCTCCACTATCTTGGAGTTCATATTTCAGCAGTGAGAGGATCGAACTTGATTGCCACTTGGTCCATGAAGACTTGGAAGGACAACCGTCAGCCATCCCCCTTCAAGGATGCCGACTACTGGCATGGTTTCATCAGAGTATCAGATGAGATTCTGGATCAAGTACTGTTTCGTTCAGGATATGCAGGAATCTATGTGTCAGCCAAAGATGCCAACAAGCGACATGACGAACGCTTTGCAGTGATTGCAGTGCCCAATTGCAGTCTTCAAGAGGTTCAAAAGAAAGCTGGAGTGCAGGACAAGGCGCTGGGCATTGTGAAGTTGCGTGATCAGTTTGGCATCCGTTGCCGACGGGAGCATGCTGCAGCACTCAGGGCCACCCTTTTGCCTGAGTCGGCTTTTGTTGCATCTGATGGAATTGATGTTGATGACAAAATTTGGGTGTTGAAGCACATTCCACATGAGGTTGGAAAGGAAGGTCTGCAGACTGCCCTGACCCAAGCTGAGTGGGATGCGCATCCCAGTCGTGCGCAAGGCCAAGACAGATGGCTTGTTGCAGCAAAGTCGGACCCCCCAACGAGACATTTTTGCATCAATGGATCTGATGCGTTGATTGAACCAATACGCCGTCACAGAGACCAAAACTCAGTGACCATCACTGCCAGGCAAGTCAATGTTGACACAGTTGTCACTGCAGTCCCTGAAGGTGTCCAGGTTGCATCATCCACCCGTATCCAAGAAGTGCGTGCAGAGATGTCGGACCAGATGGAACAGAAGATGCAAGCAGCCAATGCGAAAATTTCTCAGTTGACTCATGTGCTGGAACAGTTCCAGAATACCCAAATGCAAAACAGAAAATCAGTGAAGTTGAAGCCAGTGTTGTCCAATCTGGTCAGACTGTTACCCAAACAATGCAGCAGATGATGTCACAGATGCAGCAGCCCCTTGAGCACAGCATGAAAAGCTACATGTGCAGAGACTCAAGCGAGGAATGCAAAAGACCCAGGTCTGAAAACGGTCAGAATGAAAAATATGACCAGTTCTCCACCAACACTTGATGGGGAAAGCAGGGTGAAATTGCAAGGAGTTTCTCCAACGCCTGCCTCCGTTTTGCCATCCTTGCCATGATGTTTGTTGTCACAAGTGCCTGCTGTCCTCACGACAGCTCAATCATAGTGCATGTCATGATCTGCACCCTGAGAGTGATCACTTTAATGGCCCATTTTGGGTGGAAAGCTTGCATTCAAGATATGAATTTGTGCAGTTTGACCATTCTTGGTCGCATCGGTTGTTTTTTCACGACCATAGTACATTAGTGCACGACAGGTGTCTTTTCTCAGAGACGCTTATGATGAGTGATCTGGTTGGTGAGAAGGTTCCTTTTGACCTTTGGACACATTTGTCTGGAAGAGTTGGTGAAGCTGACAACCCTAGTCCACTGCGTGTTGGAACGTTTCAACCCTCACCAGATTTTCAGCAAAGAAGATGTCATTTGTGAATGGGGCCATGGTATTTGGGCTGGATCAGGAACTTCACATACAGTGGACGCCATGAATGTTTCGAGGTCCAGATTCAGAAAAGCAAGGTTTTTCACTGTATGGAGCTCTCCTGTAGCCAAACACACACGTGATGCTGGTTTGTTTCGAGGTAGGGCTTCAGGCACTTGCCTGGTCTCTCACTTACGCTTGAAACCATACCCTGCTGCAATTTCAGGTGTTGCCGAGCAGTCATCCAGAGTGATTGAAAGTTTGGTTGATGTTGGAAATGGCACCCATATGTTTGTTGCATGCCTATACGGACCTACACACAATACTACATTTTTTGATCCTTGGGCCTTGTTGTCTGCAGTTTGCAAAGAGACTTTCGATCATGCCCTGGCTTTCAAGGGTCCTGCAATCATCATGGGTGATTTTAACGTGGAGTTGTGTGAGGTTCCAAGATGGAAAGCCCTACAAAGAGCAGGCTGGATTGATGCTGCACTGTTTGATGCTGATCGCCGGGGCACCTCCCCGAGCCATACCAGTAAAGACAAAGCCAGAAAGTCATTCATACTTGTCAATGCCCAGCTTGTGCAAGCTCTAAGGTGGTGTAAAACTGTGGAAGATTTTGAATTTGACGCCCACCCCCTGTTGGCGGCAGATTTTGACCTTGATGTGGTCATCCGGCCCATCTCCAAATGGTGGCTTCCGGTCTCTTCTGATCGTTACATGTTTGACACAGAACTTTTGGAAGAGCATGCAGTCCATATCCTTGAAGAAAGACGTGACAAGTTTGTACAAGCACTTGCACGTGATGACGGTGATGAAGCGATGCGGCAATTTTAATCTTGCCTTTGCATGTCTCCAAAATTCATGTGTGGATTCGACGGGCCAGTCTGCTACCCTTCCAAAACGCTGCACTGGACGTGGCCTCAAAAGCACAAAAAGGCGGGTTAGACCCAGTGCACCCATTATCAATCCTGCGAGGGAGGGACGCTTCACTCCCAATCTCTGCCAGCCGTCCCTGTCAATCAGGCTTCAAACCAAACAGGTACGGAGACTTCAGAGTTTAGAATCACAGCTACGTTGTGGGAGTCGATAGTTCACGCCAACGGTTTTCATCCTTCTTTCACGGAGTTTGTGCTTGGTAATTTTGGTATTTTTGTCCCCATGAGTTGCCCTTGCGCTGAGTATGTCCATTATTTGGTCTGTGTCCTCAAAGCACATGTCCAGCAGGTTGCAACTGAAATTGCCAAGGTTCAGAGATTTCAGCGTGAGTGCAGAGTCTTGAAGGATGTCAAAGTTGGTGGGCCCAATGCCTACAGGTCTGTGCGGGATCTTGCTGCGCCGCCATTTGGTGCTATCGAACGTGAACTCTCAGTTCAGGTCATCCGACAGAGATGGCCAAAAGAGGGTAGGCAATCCTTGAAGCTTGTGCAGCCGGCACATGATTTCGACTTTCAATATCCTGTGCACTTTCAGGGGCAAGAGTGCTTTGTAGTTAGGATTGAAGGATGCCAAGTTGAGCTTGATCGAAAGGTCAAATGGAAAGAACCTGATGGCATGTGCCTCACTCAGAGGCAGATCATTGCTGATCGCCATGAAATGCAAAGGGCAACAGGTGATGCGTGGTCAACTTTGTGGCAACGCGATCCAGATGAGGATTGCGATGAAAATTGGCCAGAAGCATTTTCGCCTTTACAGCACATGCCATCTTTTCCTCCTTTGACATTTAAATCACTGACCTGCAACGAATGGAGACGTCATGCAAAGAGTGTTGGAAAACGTAGTGCCAGGGGATGCTGTGCTTTCACGCCGAGGGAGTTACTCCTGATGCCAGACTCTGTTTTGATGTGGTTGTTGGAGATATTGGATGCCATTGAGCATGGCCGCTTCAAGTGGCCGAAATGCCTGATGACTGCTAGAGTGGTTATGTTGGGCAAAACATGTTGTCGACCAACCAGTCCTTTACAGACTAGGCCCATAACAATCACGTCTCGTATTTATCGCAATTGGGCTAGGTATCGGTCCCTTGAGATCATCGATCATGTCAAAGCCTTCCTTGCTCCACAAGTGGCGGGTGCCATTTCGGGTGTTTCTGCAGATCTCATGGCTGCCTCGGTTTTGCTTGAAGTTGAAACTGCAACAATAAAGAACCATCCCAGAATGGGCCTAACCATTGACCTGGTGAAATGCTTTAATGCCATTCCAAGGAGACCAGTGTTAGCAGCCATGGCAAAAATGGGAGTTCCATGGCAAATTCTTAGGACACTTGACAGTATGTTTTCACAACTGCAGCGGGTGCTCGAATTTCCAGGCGAAATTGGTGACGCTTGGAGCTCAACTACTGGTGTACCAGAAGGGTGGCTATGTCAATCATTTCTATGTTGACGCTTTCAGTGTGGGTTGCAGAACATCTTCAACAGACGGTACAATCACCTGACATCGTTTGCATGACATATGCCGACAATTGGGTACTGGTCACAGATTGCTTTACACAACTGCAGACCGGGGTGGATGCTTTGGTCCAATTGGTACAGTCTCTTCACATGACCATAGCTGCAGATAAATCTTGGGTCTGGGCGACGCACAGATCACAGAGAGCACAATTGTCTGCATCGTTGGTGGATGGATGCCCTGTTCCAATGAAAATGGTGGCTACTGAGCTTGGGTGTGACGTTTCATACTGTCGCAAGATTACGAAGACATCCACCAAGAAACGCTTGATGAAGACATCACGAGTACTGAAAAGGGTAAGCACAAAGAAACTGTCTAAGAGGTTCAAAGCGACCATGACACAACAATTATCTTCTGGCATTTCTGGATATGGAAGTGAACTTGTTCATCACTCAGTTTCTGACCTGCGGCTTGTTCGAACAGCGGTTTGCCCGGCCATTGGAAGGTCGCGAGCTGGGAACAGCCCGTATTTGTCAACGTTCTTGACACAAGGTCTTGAAGATGTCTCTGTTACTATGCTCCTGCGGAAAGTCATGTTTTGGCGGAGGTATTTTAAGATTTTTCCTGAAGCAAGTAGTGCCTTTTTGAACAATCTTGTCACTGGTAGACATCAACATGGTGGTAGTGCTTTCTTGCAAAGGACTTTTCAGGATCATGGATGGTCGTGCGGTGCAGCTGGTGAACTTGAACATGTCAGAGGCTGGAAGGTTAACTGGATGAGTAACAGCAAAGGCCACCTGCGCAAGATGTTCTTGTTATCATGGAACCTCAACGTCTGTGACAATGTCAAGCACCGTACCAATTTTGATGTTGATATGATTTATGTGCCTGCTTTCCACCAAGCACTTGGAAAACTTGAAGACACGGCAAAGACTGATGCTATGAATCTAGCCACAGGTAAGCATGTCACCAATAATGCTCTTGTGCACTACAAAAAAGGTACCAAAGACCATGCGTGCCCTCTTTGTAAAAAGAAAGACAGTAGGGAGCATCGGGTTTGGCATTGCGCTGGGACTCAGCAGTTTCGTGACAAATATCCTGCGGTTCTGCAATGGTTGCAGACACAGCCAAAAGCAGTTGCGGAATTTGGGATTCTCCCGGTTGACGTTTCATGGATTGACTGGAGATATTGCCAGGCTCACTTTCTTCCTGACGCTGACACCCTTGCAGATGAAGGGACTCCGAGAGTGCATGTTTTCACTGATGGTAGCACAGTAGGTCAGGGCCTTGCGGGTCATGCCATTGCAGCTGCAGCATATGTCCGGTGTGAGGGATACAATGTTGTTGCAAAAAAGGCTGAGCCCATCCCAGGTGTTGATCACTCAGCATTCAGAGCAGAGATTTGGGGTATCATAATGGCTCTCAGGGATCACTACAGCGTTCACATTTACACTGATTGTGCCAGTGTCATTGACAACTTACAGTTGGTTCTTCAAGCCAAGAAAGTTAACCTCAATCCTGTGTTTAATGACCATGAGGATTTGTGGAACCGTGTTTGGAAACTGGTTGCGGGCCGTGATGCTGATTGCGTGCATATCACCAAGGTCAAAGCCCACCAGAATTTAGCCATGGTTTCTGGTGCCCAGGAAAGATGGATGGATGGCGGTCATGAATGATGAGGCCGACAAGTTGGCTAAATCTTGCCTCAAGCGTACTTGGAAAAGTGTGTATGGTGATCTTTGTGCAAGCATTGACAGACGACAGCACAACATTGCCATGCTCCATAGCTTTCACTTGATGTGGAGAGACATGAATCTTGAAGCGCTCAAGAGTTCCAAAAAAGATGAGCCCACATCCGCTCCACTGATGCCTGCGTTCCATGTCCAGACTAACCAAGCCAACTTGGTTACCATTCCTTGCGTTGTTGACAGTGCTGCCATTGATAAATGCCCCTTTAATAGTATCTTTGCGCAGAGGGTTGTCACCTATTTTCACAACTTGCAGTGGGACTTTGAAGCCCCTAGCGTCAGCTGCCTGGAACTGTACTTTGATTATTGCCTCTGGACTGGTACGGTTGCCCCTGTCTCATGCACGTTGGAGCCAGGAATGCACGTGGTCCAGTAAGATGGTATGTACTGCCCGACATTTCACCAGCGGCTGATGCCTGTCAGTCCACTTTACGTGAACAATCAAAGGTTTGGAGTAAGATTTTGGCATGGCTGAGGGAGAACTGCCCCAACGCTCCACCGAAACCTGCGTTGGGTTGTTCATCACTCTTGAAGGTTGGCTATTACCAGCAGCATTATGGTGTTCCAGGTCATCCTGTGTTACATTGTGGTCGTTGCATTGGGTGGTGCGTAGCATGATGCCTTTACCTTGTGTTGCGGTCGTGGGAATGCAGGCCACTCCCGCTAATGCCTGCCTGTGCACTTGCATGGGGCTGTTGGTCCAAGCAGCCTAATTGGGAATGCAGGCGAATCCCTAAAATGCCTGCGGTGCACTGCTTTCATGCCCAGTAGCTGTCCAGGGTTACTGTGTAGAGGAATGCAGGCCACTCCTTTTAATGCCTGTTTTGCATGCTATACTTGACAGCTGTCCAGGGCTGTTACGTTCCGGGAATGCAGGCCACTCCCTATATTGCCTGTTTTTTCGTAGGCATACGTGTAGGTTTGCATCCGGCATTTCCCTGCATCCGTGCCTTTAGGAGATTCGTTTTATTTGCAAGTCCGGTCCAACATTTCACGGTAAAGACGCACCAGCCGCTTTACCTAGAGGCCAAACAATGGTGGTCGAAACGAAAGGTCCGAAAAGTTCCATAATATATGGGATAATCCTTCACATTGACGAACTCATATTTTTAAGATGGTTATTGCACCACCAACCAGATAGTCATAGTTCAAACTTAAACGGAATGAAGATGATGAAGATGGATTTTTCCCCACGGATTTATAATGATTTATATGTCCAGAAAAAAGGTATATTCATTATGGGATGGGTAACCAGCTTTCTCAACAAACTTGGTAACGGCGCTGATAAGAGGCCGTGCAGTGGTGTAAGATCCACATTCGTAGCATCAGTGTCCAATCTCAATTTCCTGAAGGTTTTTCAACATTTGCATCATATCAATGTGTTTTCAATGAGCTTAAAACCACGTAGTGTTCACCAAAAATACTCATTTTTGAGCGTTTTACCGCAAAAAACCGCTTTTGTTTATGACAACTCTTGTTTTCGAACCTTTGCTTGACATGAATTCTGATTTTTGAAGGCATTCACAGGCACAGCTGCACAGCTCGATAGTTAACTTTTATACATTCCTGTGTGTATAGAAGTGCAAGAGAACCTAGCAGTAGCGTAGCATGAAGTGTGTATAGAAGTGCAAGAGAACCTAGCAGTAGCGTAGCATGAAGTGTGTGTGGGGAAGTGCAAGAGAACCGAGCAGTAGCGTACCATGAAGCGTGTATAGAAGTGCAAGAGAACCTAGCAGTAGCGTAGCATGACATATGTGTGGTAGTGCAAGAGAACCTAGCAGCAGCGTAGCTTGTGGAAGTACAAGAGAACCGAGCAGTACCGTACCATGAAGTGCGTATAGAAGTGCAAGAGAACCTAGCAGTAGCGTAGCATGACGTATGTGTGGAAGTACAAGAGAACCGAGCAGTAGCGTACCATGACGTATGTGTGGAAGTACAAGAGAACCGAGCAGTAGCGTACCATGAAGTGCGTATAGAAGTCCAAGAGAACTTAGCAGTAGCGTAGCATGACGTATGTGTGGAAGCGCAAGAGAACCTAGCAGTAGCGTAGCATGACGTATGTGTGGAAGTACAAGAGAACCGGGCAGTAGCGTACCATGAAGTGTGTATAGAAGTGCAAGAGAACCTAGCAGTAGCGTAGCATGACATATGTGTGGAAGTGCAAGAGAACCTAGCAGCAGCGTAGCTTGTGGAAGTACAAGAGAACCGAGCAGTACCGTACCATGAAGTGCGTATAGAAGTGCAAGAGAACCTAGCAGTAGCGTAGCATGACGTATGTGTGGAAGTGCAAGAGAACCGAGCAGTAGCGTACCATGACGTATGTGTGGAAGTACAAGAGAACCGAGCAGTAGCGTACCATGAAGTGTGTATAGAAGTCCAAGAGAACCTAGCAGTAGCGTAGCATGACGTATGTGTGGAAGCGCAAGAGAACCTAGCAGTAGCGTAGCATGACGTATGTGTGGAAGTACAAGAGAACCGGGCAGTAGCGTACCATGAAGTGTGTATAGAAGTGCAAGAGAACCTAGCAGTCGCAATGAACGTTAACATCCCCCCCCACCCACCCCCCCAAACCGGTTAACAAACACAATGACCAGAACCACGCAGAAACAGAAAAAAATGAAGACAGCACACGGCCCCTTAACAGTGTCGACACCACAAACTTAGCCAACAAAATGGGGCACCCCCATGAGACCACCATTAAAATTCCAGTTCCATCCGTCAACATGATTGTATGCGAAAAATTATTACTCCATTGTTACCCTCCTTATACATTTAAAAATTATTATGATTCATATAAAGTATAACTTAATGATATATCCGCATTGGCTATCAGTTTCATGTGGTTTCCCCATTAACTCCATGAACAATTTCACCATTATCATACCATACAACTTGACCACCCATTATTTATCTATTGATTATCCATTATTACTCTTCATTATTATGCATTAAATTACGATCCATGTAGCTGGCGGAGATATATGGTCAAATTACATGGTTTACTCTAATGGAAAATAACATATGACAACTAATATAGACCATGTAAAATGTAATAGTTTCCATAGATATAGTGTAATCGTACATATTCCATTTCCACCATTACATACTATCATTATTGTTATCCATTTTGTTATGTATTTAGATTCATAACTTCAGTAACAGGATAGTATCCATAGTAATTGTTATAAGATGCTTAATAACTCTATGCGTATTATTGTTATAAAATGTAATAGTTTCCATAGATATAGTGTACTCGTACATACTCCATTTCCACCATTACATACTATTATTATTGTTTTCCATTTCGTTATGTCATTTGACTCATAACTTCAGTAACAGGATAATATCCATAGTAATTAATTGTTTAATAAACTACTTAATAATTCTATGTGTATTATTGTTATGTCATTAGACTCTACCATATCTAAGATGTTTACATGTTAGTGTCATTATTGTTTTCCACTATTATATACTATTATTATTGATGTCCTTTCCTTCACCATGGCTGTCGTCGCCAGGAACACATCGAGCGTCTCTCTGGGCTCTGGAAGTGCCGACGCATCAGCCATGTTCAGGTGCCCATGGAAGAGCTCAGCTTTCCCGCGCCTCTGCAGGTTTTTGGAAACCCACCGCTGTTTAGAAAGGGAGATATGAGAAAAGCCCAATTTTTAAGGGTTATACAGTTATACACTTATAGCCCATTTTTTTGGTGGGTATGTTTGGTGGTATAAACCTCTAAAGAGCTACTGCTACAGGCAATGCCTAAGATATATAACGTATATAACCACTATGTGTATTCTTAATCAAACACTCTATATATATATGTATATGTGTGTGTTATCAACCACTATTCTTTATCTATAAACCACAAAGTATCACATATTGGGTTTTGTGTTTTAGTATGATTTCATTGGGATAGAATGGGGATACTTAAATGATATAGCTAACTAAGTGGGATTCAGGTGGGACAACCATCGATATTTCACCGGGGATTTAGCGGGGAAATCACCTGTATATTTCTGGCACCTTTAATCCAAAACAGAGAGAGAGAGAGAGGCACAAAATCTGTCAACCATCAAGAAATGGGAGTTAATAAGATTTAATCATGAAGAGTGGGTGTCCAATTGGATCCAATTGGGTTTTTTTTTCGAGATAACAACAACAATTCTGGGCCAACTGGATGCTGGGTAGCCTATGTTTGGTTAAAATATGTTTATATATACAACATTTCCAGTGAAATTGGGGATGGTTTATAGACTTGGGTTCCCACATATTACATCCCCTTCAATGCGGGTGGTTTGAATCTGTTGTTATTTCCAAGCAAAGAAATATCGGACATGGGAAACTAAGTATGGGACAATGCCTCAATGTCGTTCGCATACCCTCTGGCAATTTAACATAGCTATTGAAAATGGCCCATTGAAAGTTCATTGATTTACCATATTTACCTATTAAAGATTATGATTTTCCAGTTCGCAAACTGTTCGTTTACCAGAGGCTATTTGGCAGGGCTGAATCATCCAGCCCAGCCATGTCTGATGTTTGAGGATCGAGAAGAGCGCTTCGCCCATGTCTTCACGAAGCTTCGAGGTTTGGGGCTCACGGAGTATGAAAAGGCGCACAGGGGCAGGGGGCAACACTCATCACTGGGCATCCAATGACGTTATAATCTCAAAATCCTTCGAAAATTTGAATCAATGGGTACTTCAATGCATTATTTTGCGAAAAAAAATGGGGATATATGAACATGACAAGCTACGACAAATTGCTTGTTGCAGGAAGGTGCCTCAGATTGGCCATGCAACTATTTTTCGGACTTTCATCACAAAATATTGGGATGTCAGGTTGTTGCCCAACAATAGCATGCGTTATGCATGCGTTAAAATGTGGCTTATATTGTTATGATTTGTTATGTATCTATATATATATATATGCATCAGCAACATCACTTTGAATCAACAAACCAATGCGATGCAGTCAGGACCCCTTCTTTGGCCGGAGAATCATGAATATCATAGGAATATCATCTCCGAGCCTTTTTTCACACACCACCTAAGGTTAGCAATGCTATAGACATAGAAATAATATATATATATATACACATTGACATATGATCATAAATGTGTGTGTGTGTGTCCCCAGGTTACCATTTTTGGGGAGTATATTTCTGTTCCATCCCCACTTTCAAATTCTCTATAGATATGTAAAATATTACAAATCCCTAAATGTATAAATTATGCAACATTGACTTTAAATATATACATATGGATACATTCCCTAGGGTAAGCATATATCCACATAAATATATATATGCATATATTCTCTATACATATATATATATATCAAAAAAGCTCAAGGTAGGCCATGGAGGGGGGTGACCATATATATATATTATATGATTACAGGTCATCGATTCCGAAAATGACCATCGTAGAGATGACGTTCATGTAGAATCTGCAGGTCCTGATGATGGACATTGACCTTTTGGTCAGTCTCGTGGCCGGGAGATTTTGGACATGGATGTTGCGGGCGTTTTCGTTTTGTAGCTGCTTAGATGGGCCATGGCGGCCCAATTTTGTTTGGGGATTTATTGTAATTAGTCCGCTTATCAACCAATTAGTCAGCTAGTCCCCATTTTACGCTAGGCAGCGGGTTCGACTTCACATCAGTGCGGGATGAGTTGAATCCGTTTCAAGTTTCCACCGATCGCCGGTCCAAGTGCCCAGAATGGTGCAGGAGAAAGTCTTGTGATCCAAGGTGCAGGTCAAAAAGGTCGATGGATTCCATGGAAATTGGAAGAAACATGATGTTCATGCGATTGAGTTCTCAAAAAAATCCTGATCGAAACTGTGTAGCCCTTGATTTTGTGGGTTCATGCACGGTGATTTCCCGTAAATCACATATCAAACATCCCCAGTCCTTGCGAACGTTGCTGCCATGGTCTCGTTTCGCAAGCTGTGTCTACTGCTCTCGTGCGCATGGCACGTTGAGGCGCAGGGCACTGAAGGCATTGGGCTGACTGCTTCTGGCTGGTGGTTTTGGTAGAATGTGGCACATCCAATGCCATAAACTACCAAGGATGCTTAAAACCGACTATTGATGGTAAGATATGGTAAGTCATTGGGGGTGGTTTATGGCATTGGGTCTACCAATTTCTTTGTTGATTTTCCCATGACTGGGATGATAATCCCCATTTCACGACGTTTTTTTTCCACAAAAATGGCTCAACCACCAATCAGGCTACAGAAGCTCCATCAGAATCTACATCAGCTCCATCCACAACTGACCTTGCTGACTTTCCGGCCACTAGCTTGCCAGTGGTCCATCAGTGGACAGTGCAACGAGGAACCACGGGTGGTGATTTCGGCCGTGCCATGCAGGTGGGGTGCTGGTCGAGAAT